ATGACATATTGTTGTATTTTGACTGACTAATTAAAAAAGAGTGAATAAGAGATGATCATTAATTAATAATTTGATCACGATTATCGCAAAGTACTTATTAAAAAGAGAAAAAGACTAGGGCCATGAATGTTTGCAAGTTTTTAAATGGTTTTTGGATTATAGTTTTTGGTTTATGGATTTTGGATTTTGGTTTATGGTTTTTAGATTTTATATTAGGAAAAAAATAAAAAATGGAAAGAAAAAGTCAAATCACGTAAAGAAGTGAGAAACCCACTAAACATAGATTTAAATTTTTTTTGAAAATTGACAAAAACAATCAAAATCTAGATTCTCTATTTTTGAAGAAATCCATTTTATTCATAATCTTGATTGGCTATAAAATAGATTTTTGTAAAAACTAAAACCAAAAACAACTTTAAAATCTACTACCATTCAAGTCATCCGAGAAAGAAAACATTTTATTTATGTAATAAAGAAAGCATAATCAGTTAATAAATAGAAGCTCTCTATTTCATATGCTTTTCCAGCAATGACGAGCCTTATCTTTCAAAACTATTTCATCTCTCTCTTCATCTGCCTCTTCTCAATCTTCTTCTACTATTTCTTCTTCAAGAAACCAAAAGCCTCAAGACTTTGGTTAAATTTGCCTCCGAGCCCTCCGTCTCTGCCAATCGTTGGCCATCTTCACATTCTCCTCTCTCCTCTATTTCACAAATCTTTAAAGAAAGTCTCAGCCAAGTATGGACCTCTTCTCCATCTCCGGGTCTTCAAATTTCCCATAGTCGTCGTCTCCTCTGCCTCAGTGCCTACGAGATCTTCAGGGCCCACGATGTGAACGTCTCGTCTCACGGCTTCACTCCCATCGAAGATTTACTCTTGTTTGGATCTTCTGGCTTCTTCAGTACCCCCTATGGAGATTACTGGAGGTTCATGAAGAAGCTGACCGTCACCAAGCTGCTCGGATCACAAGCCCTCGAGCGGTCAAGACACATCCGTGCTGATGAGCTACAACGATCTTACACAAACCTAATCGACAAGGCGATGAAGAAGGAGAGCGTTGAGATAAGTAAGGAAGCAATGAATCTCAGTGTTAACAGCGTCTTTAGGATGAGCATGGGAAGGAGTTGTTTAGAGGAAACCGGTGAAGCTGAGCAAGTCATGGACTTGGTTACCACAACGTTTGCCCTGACGAAGAAGATGTTGCTGGAAAACATGTTGCATGCGCATGCAGCTTGGTATCTCACTGTTTAAAAAGGAGATAATGGGTGTTTCAAACAGATTCGGTGAGCTGCTGGAGAATATTATTGTGGAACATGAAGAGAATCCGGACGAGCATCAAGGTAGGGACATGATGGACGTACTGTTGGAAGCTTACCGGGACGAAAACGCAGATTACAAGATCACTAGGGAACATATTAAGTCGCTTTTTATGGTACTATATATAGTGTTCTTATCATTAAGTTGATGATTCAACGAGAATCTCCATTATATTAATATGAGATATTTTCCTACTTCAGGAGCTTCTCATTGGAGGCAGTGACACCTCGGCGCAAACAACACAATGGATAATGGCTGAGGTCACTGACAAGCCTAACATTCTTACAAGACTGAGAGAAGAAATAGATTCAGTTGTAGGGAATACAAGATTGATTCAAGAAACTGATCTACCAAACCACTCTTACTTGCAAGCAGTAGTCAAAGAAGGGCTAAGATTGCACCCACCTGGGCCCGTCCTTCTAAGGAAATTTCAACAAGGGTGTAAGATCGGAGAGTTCTACATACCCGAGAAGACGATGCTTTTAGTTAACTCTTATGCTATAATGAGAGATCCTCATTACTGGGAAGATCCTGATGAGTTTAAGCCAGAGAGGTTTCTAGCTTCTTCAAGATCATCAGGACAAGAAGATGAGAAAAGAGAGCGAGCACTTAAGTACATTCCTTTCGGTAGTGGAAGGAGAGGCTAACCTGGAGAAAATCTAGCTTATGTCTTTCTAGCAACTGCGGTTGGGATGATGGTTCAGGGTTTTGAGTGGCAAACCATAGAAGAGAAAGTTAACCTGGAGGAGGCCGTCGTAGGAATGAGCTTGGCCATGTCTCATCCTCCTAAGTTCACTCCTATTGCTCGAACCCTAAACCCTTTATCTTTGAATATGCCAAATCCTAAATCTTGACTTTTCCAAGGATCCGTAAGAATTAAGATCGTTTGTGTAATATGCTTTTCTTTTTATGTTTCCGAATCCATGTCCAAGTTTCCGGTTAAGTTGATTACTTTGGTTTATTGTGTGAAACCATAATCATTTGTGTGAATTAAGTTGGTTACTTTGGTTTAAGTCGTAGATCTATTCATATTCACCGACTCCAGTCTTAGGTTTCCTTATTTTGGCTTTATTTATTTGAGGGCAGTGAAATATGGTCGATATTTTAATTTCTTCTCCTGTTCGATCCGTATCATAGAAGGGTCTAATAAGATCATGCAATAGATATAATAAGGTTTTACAGTGTATTTACGATGACCGTGATGAGTGATGATCGTGATTTTGGCTTTGAAGTTTTAAAGCCATCTGTAAGAATATTTCATTCCTCCTATGTAGCCTATGTGTCTTACAATTTAATTATTAAGTTCAAGTTTATATTAAAGTTAAGAATTCTAATATTAAAGACGACACCGTGATGAATCAGTTTCGATTAAAGAATTAGAATTCGGGTGTATTGATAACATTTTCCCTTGCCTTAGTTATATTTTATAAGTAATATATATACATGTATATGTTATGCTCATGTATTATAAAACTGGTTGTTGTTACAAACCTATACAACGGTTTAAAAGATGCTATATACATGTATATATATTTGGTGTTAATTTAACGTTACGGTTACGTTTTTTGTTCTCGTTACGAGAAAAACAAAAACAGAACAATAACTAGAAAGAAAAACATCAACTTAAGAGTTAGTGATCTTCTCCATCAAAGGTCACATGAAGGAAAAGGATTAAGGGGAGAAGAAATCAATCGGTGAATTGATTCCATTACAAGCCTAATTTTAATTTCTTCTCCTGTTCGATCCGTATCATAGATAAGATCATGCAATAGATATAATAAGGCTTTACAGAGTATTTACGGTGACCGTGATGAGTGATGACCGTGATTGGTTTTGAAGTTTTAAAGCCATCTGTATTTCATTCCTCCTAGCCTATGTTTGTCTTACGATTTAATTATAAAGTTCAAGTTTATATTAAAGTTAATAATTCTAATATTAAAGACTACACCGTGATGTATAGTTTCGATTAAAGAATTAGAATTCGGAGGTATTGATAACATTTTTCCATTGCCTTAGTTATATTTTATATGATATATATATATATATATATATACATGTATATGTTATGCTCATGTATTATAAAACTGGTGGTTGTTACAAACCAATACAATCCTTTAAGAGATGCTATATACATGTATATATATGTGGTGTTAATTAAACGTTACGGTTACGTTTTTTGTTTTCATTACTAAAAATCATAAAACTATATATATAGGGTCATTTGTTATCTAATATATTGACTAAATTAAAGTAAAACGTTTAGTTACGATGCAAAAGAAGAATGAAGAAAATAAACCTCTATGACAGGTAATTGTACGGTAATTTTAGTGGATGTTGCATGTTATTTTATTAATCTGATTTTCTAGCAGAAAAAGTTGGAAAAATACTCTCATTAGAATAAGTTATATCCATGTTAGGTTTGATTTACCTAATCGAAACCGGTGTTGAACAGTTAGTACGTGACGATCAACTACACTTCTCCACTTATACTTGATTGAAAACACAACCACGAACCAAAACGATACTCCGATCTCAACGATGGTGGATGATGGTGACTTGAAATGAAAATTCTATGTCTTGTTAAGAAAATTATTTGGGTTCACTCTAAGGGGTGAACCCTTCTATTCACTACTAATTTTTTAACCAATCAGAATCTGCCATGTAATATTTATAAAAAATTTTAATAATTATATATCGGTTTGGGTTCATAGGAAAGGGTTAGGGGTTTGGATTTTATAATATAACGAGGTTAATTGTCGGTTTGGGTTTATAAAGAAGAGTTCGAGTTAAAATTTTATAATTAGACGAGGTTATATGTCGGTTTGGGTTTATAATGGATAGTTAGGGTTTATATTTTATAATTAACGAGGTCTTATGTCGGTTTGGATTTATAAAATAGAATTATGATTTAGATTTTACAATGAAACGAGATTATAAGTCGGTTTGAGTTTATAAAAGGGTCAGGGTTATATTTTATAGTTAATGTGGTTAAATGATTGTTTTGGTTTTATAAGAGATTTTACAATAAAATATATTTTATTTTATTTTTTAATTAGATGGCAGATTCTGATTGATTAGAAAAAAGAAAGTGAATAAAAAGGTTCACCCATAAGGATGACCCCAAATATTGTTCTTTTGTTGTGGTTGAGATTGAGTGCTCGTGTCATAAGCGGCGAGACGAATAGGCCTAAATGGTCTCATAGATAGATAGAGGATATGAATCCATAAACCAAGAAGGGTGGCGTTTCGGTGACTCGAAAACGCTTTGATCTTCCTCAATGAAACCATGTTTTGAGTAGTAAGAAAGCTTTGCACGTGGCATTTGGAAATTAGCCTTCACAACGTCTGCCATTGTGGCATCTTGAGAGACTGTTTTAATCAATAGTGATGTTGATGGTTTGGGAAACCTCATTAAATTCTCTTTATTAGTAGTAGATTTTTTTCTCTGTTTTTGGTTCTAGCTTTAATTATCTTCTTTCTTTTAAATGTAGCTTTTGGATACTTTATTTTCAAAAATAAATAAATTTTTTTACCTTATATATATATAAAAGTATGAGCAACATACATATTTATTTATATTCTCTAAATAAATATCATATTTTGTTAGTTTCCCAAAGTTACTACATTGAATATAGAGTATTATTATTATTATATAATTTTTAAAATAAATTAAAATTATTATAAGAAATAGAAAAATTTAGTGTAAAATTGTTTTCTAGATCTGCCAATGGAAACTATTGTAGTTGTTCTTAATTTTTAATCATTTACCTTCTTTCTCCTCTATATAAGAGCCGCTAACGATCTGAACTGGTGACTCAAGGCACATCAAAATGAGCTTCATTTGGAACGTTTCAATATGTGTCACAGCTTTAGTTGTTATAGTGATAACCAAATGGTGGTACCGATGGTCAAACCCCCAGTGTAATGGCAAGTTACCTCCGGGATCAATGGGTTTTCCGATCATTGGAGAGACAATCGACTTCTTTAAACCTCATGGACTCCTCGAGATCTTACCCTTTGTCAAAAAAAGGATGTTAAGGTCAGATTTTCAATCTATCTTTTAACGAGAAGAGGCCTTGTCTATTTGCATATATGTTCGTAATGTTTTGAACGTTTTAGGTATGGGCCACTGTTTCGCACCAACATTTTCGGAACCAATACTGTGGTAGCGACGGACCCTGATGTGATCTACGAGATTTTTCGGCAAGAGAACAAGTCTTTCGTGTTTAGCCTTCCGGATAATTTTCTCAAGATCTTTGGAAAAGATAATCTGTTAAGTGAACATGGGGACGCCCACAAGCATGCCAAACAAATCACTCTAAATTTTCTTGGCTCTGAGGGATTGAAGCACAACATGATAGGAGACATGGACAAAGTGACCCGCGAGGAACTTAGATCAAAGGCTAGCCTCGGGAGCTTCGATGTTAAGGAGGCCGTTACAAGCGTATGTACATAAATTGTTTTTCTTTTTCTTTCTTCTTTTGATGTTGATCAAATTATTTTTGTTAATAATAGTTTTTTCTGTTACTTTTGCAGTTGATAATAACTCACTTGACCCCCAAGTTGATAAGTAACCTTGGATCAGAGACTCAAGCAAATCTTATAGAAAGTTTCAAGGCATGCAATCTTGATTGGTTTGAGTCATTCACTAGTCTTTCTACCTGGAGATCGTTCTACAAAGCTTTTTCGGTTAGTACTTTGCTTCTTTTTTTGAGAACAAAAAAATATGTGTAAAAACAATAAATCCAGTGCAAATAAAAATAGGAGAATCAACCACATGGTGGTGGGCGAGTGGTTCTCGTTTGGTTGGAAGGATCGCCCTGTTGGTCTAGGCCAAGGATCGATCCTCCCCAGACGCAGTTTCGCTCTCTCACTCTTGTGGCCACCTGGGAATTTACCTGCGGACTTGCTCATGCGCCCCAGACCACCAGTTTATCAGGGGGGCCTTAAGTGGAGGCTTAAAAATCTCTGTGACGCGGGCTTAGGCCCAGTGGGCTAGTCAGATCACTGTGTGGTCTGGATACTGGGTTATCAAAAAAAAAAATAGGAGAATCATATATATGATTAAAAAGAAAAGTAAAGCCATTTCTACGTCACGTTATGGAAAAAAAGGAGAGAAATAGGTGAAACCAAATAATTAGAATTTTGTGACGAAATTTAATTAGAAACCAAATAATAGGAGAATATAGTTTTAGATATGTTAAAACTATAGATAATCATAACTTTGAAGTGATTAGGTGTGTACACTAGAAATGATATATTATCTCTCATGTCTCTATCAATTGCAATGCATTTAGGGACGCAAAGCGGCTATGAAGATGATAAATGATGTTTTCGTATCAAGGAAAGAATCAGGAGAGAATCATGGAGACTTCCTCAGCACAATGCTAGAAGATGACCGTTTTAATGAGAAAGCCATTATGGACCACATCTTTGTTCTTCCGGTTGCTGGTAAAGATGCTATTTCTACGGTCGTTTCATTGGCCGTAAACTTCATTACGAAAAACCCTAAAGTTTTATCAGAGTTGAAGGTAATATATATCCATACATAAGCTAACAAGTTTTTACAGATCTAAAGGAGACAAAAGAAGCATGGATTTGATGACATGATTTTCTTATAATATTGTAGAGAGAACATAAGGCGATTCTTCAAAACAGAGATGATGAAAATTCTGGAATTACCTGGGAAGAATACAGACACAACATGACTTTTACCAACATGGTAACTTTTGTTTATCTTTTAAGAAACTTCAAGTATAATATGAGGAGAAGTCCACTTTAAAACACTTTAGTGTGTTTCTACCGAAGCTGAGCAGATCAGCCGATCGGGTATATAAAAAAAAGTACAATATGAGGAAGCTTAATAACAACATTTGTTGTAATATAGGTGATTAAGGAGACTCTTCGAATGGCAAATGTGGCTCCTGTAATGTTTAGAAAGGCTTTGAACGATGTCGAAATCAAAGGCAAGTAGTACTTTTATAAACGCCCACTTATTCATCAAACATATACTCAAATATATTTCCTAAACGGAACATTCTTTTGGTGGTGATGGGGCGACTTGTAACAGGATATACAATTCCAGCGGGTTGGATGGTGGTGGTTGCAAGTTCAGTGATTCATTATGATCATACGATATATGAAAACCCTTTTGAGTTTAACCCATGGAGATGGGAGGTATATACTGATTCTAGTTTATGTAAAGCATTTTTTCATCCAAAATTATATTGGAAGGTTTTGATGAAAAAATGTAAAACAGGGCAAAGAGCTGCTTAATGGTTCTAAGACGTTCATGGTGTTTGGAGGTGGAGTGAGATCGTGTATTGGTGCAGAGTTTGCAAGGCTTCAGATTGCAATATTTATACACAATCTTGTCACCAACTACGATTTCTCGATGGTCCAAGACTGCGAAGTCACTCGTACTCCACTGCCTTCTTTCCCCAATGGCGTCCATATCAACATCTCTCATTCTCCCACCAACTAAAACGAAGATCTTTAATCTCAATCTAAATAAAATAAGCTTAAATCTAACTACATAATAGTGTTGTATATGCTTTCATATTCATATTTCGGATAATTCCATATATATTTAAGTATCAAGATTTGAGTGGCGCATACAAAATTGGAAGATGTTTTTCTATTTCCTAGATGGAACATCGAATATACGGGTTTTGGTGTAGGTTTTATTATTGATTAGAATACCTTCTTTGAAAAAAGAACAAATGATTGTCGTATAGATGGGATCGAAGAAGCCTTTTCGGCTAAAACTGTAGTTGAGAAACAAGTCCATATATAGTGAGATCTGTTTTTATACATCAGTAGCCAGTAGGGTATATATGTGGATTCACGATGATTCCCTAAGAGGAGCTCGAGTAAGGGGTTAATTTTCCACCCAACATTGATACCTAATCATTTGATTAAGTTGTTAATCAAGAAATGGCATCTTAAAATGCTACATCAATCTGTAGTACCAGGGGATAACCCACTTACCAATGGTTTGGGATGCTGGGAAGACTTATTAGGTAGACGCTCTCTCACCTGACATTTCACTATATCGGATTATACATGGTTAAATCTGGATAATGGCTTACAAAATCATTATATATATATATATATATGTATATTTTTTATGATTAACAATTTTGTGTAAATTTTATATAACAATATTAATTGAATAGTATTGTGACTTGTGATTGTGCCTTTTTCTAGTTAACAAATTAAAAAGATACTAGATTTTAACCCGCGGTACACCGCGGGATGATTTAATTTTAAAGTTAGTATAAAAATATTTTGTAAATTGTATCTCCTTATAACATATTTATTTATATTATAGTTTACAATTGTTATTAAGTAACGGTATACCACGAGTCCACGAGATAATTATTAATAAACTGAGGATTTAACCCGTATTAAAGCGGTATATAAATATTGATTCAAATTCGTCCGCCATATAAATTATTTCCGAAATATAACCCGTTCCGTAATTTCTTAACCCGTCCTGTGATTTGTATTAAAAAAAATAATGATTAAATCCGTATTGAAGCGGCGGATTAATGATATTTTAATCTTTTTATTATTGTTGATTCAAAAACCCGTCCCGCCAAAAAACTCATTTATTTTATTAATGTTCTTATTTATGATATGATTCTGAATCATTGTCTAAATATTTTAATCGATGTAGAACGTTGAACACACATTTTCGTCAATTGGATAATATATGTCTGTTTTAAAAATTTCGAATCACAGTATATGCAGAAAAAAAATTGATATTTTTTTTACTTTATGTATTATATGATGATTCAAAACAGTTAAAAACAAATCAAACAAAGATGATAGGAGAATCATAATTATAAATCTTAATCAAATCTTCTAAAAATCTAAATTATTAAATATGGAATATCCGGTGTATGAGTTGGGTTAAATATAACCCGACCCAACAAATTTTTTGTGAAGAAATTTTTAAAATGGGTCGGATATCCGATATACCCGAAAGCTTTTTTACCCACCCGTCACAAAAAGTGCTGCGATTATACTAGTATAGATATTTTGAATCTATCTAATATATATATATATCTCTCACCAAAAAAAAAATATATATATATATATGTACCTAAGTATATATAGAAGTGATTTAAAAAAAATTAGTGTCTTTTTAGATTTCAACTTTTAAAAAGTATATTTATGGAAAGTATATTTATTTTTTTAATATAGTGTCTTTTTAGATTTCAACTTATAAAATGTAACCGCCACTGGACGGCAGTGCATATATTTAGAGCAATGTTTAGTATATAAATGGATACATATGTGTGTTACTTATTCCTCCATAATCTGATAATCACATAGACACTGCTCACGTAAAGGATACACGTAAAGGTCACGATAAGCCCAATGGTAAGACCAATTTTTTAGTTTTAAAATTTGGAGATTTAAAAGTTAAGACAACGTGAGGAAGTCTTAACAAAGTCTGTCCAATGGTAAGATACCCATGAGGAGGTCTTAATTTTTTCTTTTTTTGAAAATAAACTTTGGTTTGGTTTTTGAAAATAGAGAGATTCATGTGTTATCATATATGTGTTATCATGTGGTAAATGGGACAACGAGAGATTCATGTGTTATCATATATTTTGATGTGATTCAAAGTGTTTTCAAATGCAAAACATAGATTCAAATGCAATCTTCATCTTCAAGATATTGAATTGTTTTTTTTGTTTGGTCTTACTTTCCCACACCCAACCACTAGCTGACATCTTAGGGAGTCCTAGCTTTTCTTATAAATCCTAATTAAGACTTGATTCTTACTCATTTCTTGATTTTTGATTTTTAACTTAAGATCCTAAGCTAAGACTTGCATAAGACCCTCCATTGGAGGTGGTCTTAGTCAAAGCCATCCGGGTAGAGATCTAGAGTTTGATTCTTTCTTTTTTTACTGTGTTTTAAGTTAAAGAAAAAACAAATCTTAAGACAAATATTGACTTGTTCTGTCTAGCAGATTTGATACAAAATGTGGAAGCTGAGGATCGGAGCTAAGGCAGGAGATGATCCTCACTTGTGCACCACCAACAACTACCTCGGAAGGCAGATATGGGAGTTTGATACCCATGCAGGCTCTCCGGAAGAACTCTTTGAGGTTGAGCAGGCTCGACGGAATTTCTCCAACAATAGGTCACAATACAAAGCTAGTGCCGATCTGTTGTGGCGTATGCAGGTGAAAACATTTAACTGCGGAACACATGAGCTTAAACTGGTCTAGCTATACTACATAACTTTATTGTATTTTTTTTTTTATTAAAAAGTTTCTAAGGGAGAAAAAGTTCGAACAAAATATTCCGCGGGTGAAAATAGATGCCGAGAAAATAACATATGAAGAAGCGAATACGGCACTGAGAAGAGGTATACACTATATGGCAGCGTTGCAGTCTGATGATGGACATTGGCCTGCTGAAAACTCTGGTTGCATGTTCTTTAACGCTCCCTTTGTAAGCTTTACACTTTATTAAAATTATTATATCTAAAAGAAAGAAAAACAAAACAAGAATATACCAACGGTGCACAATATTATCAGGTCATATGTTTGTATATCACTGGCCATCTAGATACAATCTTCTCTCAAGAGCATCGCAAAGAGATGTTGCGTTATATGTACAACCATCAGGTACCGTACTTGACTCAATATAATTTCCCTTTAAGTTTTCATTAGAAAGAATAACATATGTATTTTGCCAAATGACTTCAATATCAAGAATGACGATGGTGGGTGGGGACTAGACGTCGAAAGCCATAGTTCAATGTTCTGCACGGTCATCAACTATATCTGCCTACGAATTATGGAAGTGGATCCTGATTATGATGGTAAAAAAAATGCTTGTGCAAGGGCTCGTAAATGGATCATTGACCACGGTGGTGCAACCTATACACCATTGTTTGGAAAAGCTTGCCTTTCGGTATGTCATATAATCATCAGTTAAAGTTAATCTCTCTTAATTTGGTAGTAGTTGGCCCTAATGTTTTTTTTTTCATTTTAAATTATTAGGTTCTTGGAGTGTATGAATGGTCTGGTTGCAAACCTATACCACCAGAGTTCTGGTTATTTCCTTCTTATTTCCCTATTAATGGAGGTTTGGATTTGAATAATCTTATATTTATGATGGCTTTGGGTATGAACTTTATTTAATATATAAATTATTTTATCATACGTGGTGCTATATATGGATAGGGTTTGAACGTTGGAGTGTCCTAACCTTGGATGAAATAATATAATTTAGTTTAGCTCCTTCATTATTTTCCTATACGCGTGCAGGCACTGTTTGGATTTATTTGCGTGATACTTTCATGGCACTGTCCTATTTGTATGGTAAAAAATTTGTAGCTACTCCAACACCCCTCATTCTACAGCTCCGAGAAGAGCTTTATCCTCAGGCTTATGCTGAAATTGTTTGGAGTCAAGCTCGGAATCGATGCGCAATGGTAAAAATTTAAGTCATATATATACCTGTAATCCATTGTATGCTTATGAGAAAAGCAAGGTACCAAAAAAAAAAAAAGTCTTAATGATGCAGGAAGATCTATACCATCCACAAACATTTGTACAAGACTTGTTTTGGAAAAGTGTTCATATGTTCTCTGAGAATATCTTAAATCGATGGCCTTTCAAGAAGCTCATAAGAGAGAGAGCTATGCGAAGGGCAATGGAACTTATCCATTACTATGACGAAGCCTCCCAATACATTACCGGTGGAGGTGTGCCAAAGGTAAACGGTTTTAGAATCAAAAATAGATGAAAAGAAGAAAAAAATGTTGTAAAGAGAAACCCAAAATGTTACTTAGCTATATATGGTTTTTTTTTTCAATAATTATTAGGTGTTTCATATGCTTGCTTGTTGGGCTGAGGATCCCGAGAGTGAATATTTTAAAAAACATCTTGCTTGTGTCTCTGGTTACATATGGATTTCGGAGGACGGCCTAAAAATCCAGGTTAGTTCTTTTTATTTATTTTGGCACTAATGCGAATTCACTAGACTACAAGTCAAGTCTAAGTGGATTTCTTAATTTGAAAAATTAAATTATTTCCATGTGTAGAGTTTTGGCAGCCAAATATGGGATACAACCTTGTTGCTACAAGTCATGTTAGCCGCTGATATTGATGATGAGATAAGATCAACGCTCATAAAGGGATACTCTTTCTTGAGGAAATCTCAGCTTATAGAGAATCCTCCTGGTGACTATATCAAAATGTTCAGAGACATATCAAAAGGAGGATGGGGTTTTTCGGACAAAGATCAAGGATGGCCAGCTTCAGATTGTACTTCCGAGAGTTTAGAGGTGTGTGTTTCTCTATCTTGCAATCCTAATATATTGATCTAGATGGCACTTGGGAGGTGACCATATAAAATGGTCTAGTCCCTGGCATAAGGGGACATACGGAATTAGGCCCAAAATCTTTTAATCATTCAAAAATATACATATATATCTGATTACTAATTCGCGTGTATGGTCAGTGCTGCCTGATCTTTGAGAGCATGCCGTCTAATTTCATTGGTGAGAAAATGGACGTGGAGAGGCTTTATGATGCAGTCAATATGATTCTCTATTTGCAGGTAATTCAGTTTTTGTAAATTGATTTAAAACACCAAAGGCTGGTTAGTAACTTACAATTCTCATTTAACCAAAAAGAACATACAATTTTCTTAATGACAGAGCAAAAATGGAGGTATAGCTGTATGGGAGCCAGCGAGTGGGAAAAAATGGCTAGAGGTAGTTATCATTTATATGTTTCAAGATTCATTATCTTTGGAGATAAATGAAAAAATTGATTTCAAATTCAAATGCAGTGGCTTAGCCCCATAGAGTTTATGGAAGATACAATACTCGAGCATGAGTATCTAGAATGCACGGGGTCAGCGGTAGTAGTGTTGACTCGCTACATGAAACAGTTTCCCGGGCATAGAACAAAAGAAATAGAAACATTTATAGCAAAGGCAGTAAAATACATAGAAAGTTTGCAAACGGCGGATGGTTCGTGGTATGGAAATTGGGGAGTGTGCTTCATCTATGCGACATTCTTTGCTGTCCGAGGTTTAGTGGCTGCGGGCAAGACTTACCATAGCTCTGAGCCGATCCGTAGAGCTGTTCAGTTCCTTCTTATAAGATACAAAATGCTGAAGGCGGTTGGGGAGAGAGTTTTCTCTCTTGTCCCAACAAGAAATATATTCCATTGGAAGGGAACAAGACCAATGTGGTAAATACGGGACAAGCAATGATGGTTCTAATAATGGGTGGTCAGATGGAGAGAGACCCTTTACCAGTTCATCGTGCTGCGAAAGTTATAATTAATTCGCAAATGGATAACGGTGATTTTCCACAACAGGTGTGATTCTTGTTATCCTAGTTTTGTTCAGGACATCCAATTTCATGATAATATAATTGGTCATTAATATTTTGTAGGAACTAAGAGGAGTTTACAAGATGAATGTGCTGCTACATTATCCAACCTATAGAAACATCTTCAGTCTTTGGGCACTCACATATTACACAAAGGCTCTGCGCTTGCTCCTCTGATGACGACTCCACTGCGAAACTCACACCACTGTTACATTATTTTCCTTCTCTTGTTCTTTTCTTCATGTAAAAAGATCAATAATAAAAATACAGTTTGCGATAAGAGGAACCTTACTTGCATGACTAGTTTTAGCCATCTCTTGTTTTTTTTTTTTCGTATGAATGTAAAATTATATTCAACAAAAAATCCGTTTGTACAACGAGTGCAACATTTAGAATTAAAGTTTTTAAAATAAAGCTAACAAATTATTGAAAAAGCTTGAAATTATGGGGTTGCGTGTTTGGAAATTGGAACCAATATCCAAGACCCTCCTCGTAGGCTGAGTTTCAGCCATCTCTTTTCTCTAGTCGTTCATTTCTTCATTTCCTTGCGCTTTTGGCTCGTGCTTATTACTCTTAGGTTCCTTTTGTTTCGTTGTTCAATCCTTATATAAAGAGGCTTATGCTCTGTAATAACACAGTTTGGAAATAAAGCTTTTCATTTTTAAAATCAAGACGGATTGCTCATCTTTACTAGTTCAAGAAATTGACAAGTTTTTAGTGTGTAAATCAATCAAAGAACATATGCAAAATGGTCAGTAAAACATACAAAACTGAGAGCAAGCATCAGGGCCGGCTCAACATTTCATTTTATAGATGTTTTTGTCATGAAAACTTTTTTTTTTTTTTGCCCCAACAGTTGTGATCTAGAAATTGTTGAGAATTGGGCAAATGTTTGAAGGAACTAACCCAGGTTTGATCCACACTGGAAACAAAAAGCACATCTGTGTGGGAAGTCTGGGTTTGGGCCAGGGTTTGGGCCAATGGCTCAAGCAGTTTACCTTGTAGTCTAGTAACAGGCGATCTGGCTACCCCTGACATTAGTCGGAAAGCATTTCAAACTCGGGATAGACAGTATGGTGGCCCTTCGGGGAGAAGTCCACTCTGAAGCACTTCGGTGCGTTTCTACCGGAGCTGACCGGATTAGCCGATAGGGTTTATCAAAAAAAAAAGAAAACTTTTTTTTTTTGTATTTTAGTAAAACAAATCTGTTATAAGAACAAAAAAAAAAATACATATAATTTTGTTTTAGGCACTTTTCAATATTATATTTAGTAAACTATCTTATTTATTTATTTGTTTTTTAAATATTTTAAAATGATCCTCTAGATTATTAGGATACGGGATGGATCCCCGGCCATCACACTTCTCGCACTCCGTAGTGAGCCGGCACTGGCAAGCATAGAAAAAGAAGTAGAAGATAAGGGAGGATTACTATAACCACATGATTAGAAAGGATGGAAATGATTTTTAACAAACAATTCTTTGAAATTACTAGAACAATTTTTAACCCCTTTAGACTTTTAATAGTCTTTGTAAATAAAAACTATATTACGTACATATATTGTCACTAGTTTATGCTTCCACGTAGGACGAGATATTAAAAAAGGAAAAATCATTTTCTCGGGAAATGCATGTGAGTAAGTCTACCTATGTAGTGATGGTCGACTTTTCTCGGCATAATAGATATATATATGGTAGATTGTTATGGTAGATTTGTATGGTAGAGATACTAAGTATATATGATAGATTAAAATAGAAGATTAAATAATAGTGGTGACCCCTGTTCTAAAAATTGGCCGCCTAGGCGCTGATCGGAGGAGCACCGCGGCGATTTTGTCCAAATCGGTGAGAAAAATCGGAGATCCGATTTTTTGTCCGCCTAGACCGCCTAGGCGGCCGCCTAGCCCGCCTAGACGGCGCCTAGCCCAATTTTTTTTTTTTTTTTTTTACTTTTTTTTTCATCTAAAATTCAAAACGTCCTACTTATGTTCGTAATTTGTATAAACCAATCAATTTATATATATATATATATAAAAGCACGACACTCATGTTACGCGGAAAGCACATGACACATATGCGACCCGTTTGCGATCCGTTTGCGAATTGCGACCCGTTTGCGATCCGTTTAAAATATGCGACCCGTTTGACAATCGCATATAAATTGATTGGTTTGCGATAAATTTTACACTCATGTTACGCGGAAAGCACGACACTATAGCGATAAATTTACTACGCTTTGCCGGAGAAATTTGTTACGCGGAAAGAGTATTGATACCATTTTAGATGAAATTTTAAATAATTGTTTTCTTCTCATTATCGCAATAATGTGGTACAAAGAGTGTTTATTTACAAAGCTAATGAGACTAAACCGGTAAGATTAAATAACTTAACCGGATATAGGAAACCGGGAATGTGGACTATACAGTAGTATGAAATCTAACACCTTCAAAACTGGGAATTTATTATGTTGAAACGTATTTTCTACCATTATTTTAGCATTAAGGATATTTATTTAAACAATGCTCACTTTTATTAAACTCTTTTGCATAATCGTAAAATTAATCATTTACTACCTTACAAATCGTATATTGTATTCAATTTAAAATGGGTTTATTAATGCTTGAGTTATATAGTAAAACTCTTTTGCGTGATCATAGTATAAACCTGCATTGAAATTTACTGTACCAAGTGATCAAGCATTTTAAAACAAATCACAAAGAACTAAATTATCTATGCACGTGAGAGTTCTTGAATGTGGTATAGTATCTGGTAAATCTTGACATAAGCTTGCTATACCAAATTTTTTTTTTTTTTTTTGACATAAGCCCAATAGTGTATGATGACTTTAGAAATATATCATGTGGTTGAAGTAGTAATGTACGTCTAAATTAGGTTTTTTTAGGCTCTCTCAGTACATCACCTTATCGACTAGCTTTGTTTGATAGAAGCTTATTGAAGCGTTCATTAATTTCTCCATTTTCTATTTGTTCCTTATCAAGAAACAAAGTACTTACGAGGATGTTAAGTGGATTTTCAGGTTTTAAGACCAATTCGAGTTCAACACTATGTTTCACACAAAGTCTAAGATAGGATGACATGGTTTTATTGATGCTGACAATTGAAATAATGTTGATAGCAAGACGAACACATCCGTTTAGATTTAAACTTTTGGTGATTACACAATTTGTTAGGTTTCAAAGTTGTAAAAGATCGTAACTATATTAAGATGTGAAGCTGAGTATGTTGCTAACAAAGATAGAAAGAAAAGAAAAAAAAAAAACAAGATGACGTGTTTACAATCATTTCTGTATATGCAATACTGGTGACTTGTCTTAGAGCATCTCCAATGGTGAGAGCCCTCCATGGGCTCTCACCATTTTTTTAAGATTAAAATTTTCAAATTTATGAGATGAGAGCTTTTGTTAATTTTGCAACGTCCAATGGTAGGTTCTCTTTGTGGGGTTCTCAGGAAAAAATTAAATTATTATTTTTAATTATTTTATTTCATAAATCTGAAAAATATTACAATTCATAACATATTAAAGATACAATAATTTCATACATTTGAAAATAAATTTGAAAAAAAAAACGATTAGTTATTCTGTTGATTGTTGCGAAATTTTCTCCATATATGCTCAACCAAATCACTTTTCAATTGTTGATGCATATTTTGATCACGAAGTTGATTTCGCATGCCCATCATATTCTCGATATTTGGAGGCATACCTGTAGAATACGATAAATCGACTTGTGAAGTTTGGTTTCCTTCAACTTGTAGGAATTCTGAAACATCAAACTGAGTGTTGTACCCATCTCGTTCGTCTTCGACTATCATATTGTGCAGTATGATACATGCTTTCATAATATTTCCAATTTTTTCCTTATCCCAAACAAGAGCTGGGTTTTTAATAATGTGAAAGCGAGCTTGCAATACTCCAAATGCACGTTCGACATCTTTACGGGCCGCTTCTTGATGTGTAGCAAATAAAGTGTCTTTCCGAGTTTGTGGTAGTCGAATAGATTGGATAAAAGTCGCCCATTTCGGATAAATACCATCTGTGAGATAGTAAGCTAAATGATACTCCCGGCCATTGACTTTGTAATTCACATTCGGAGCTCGACCTTGTAATATATCATCAAAAATTGGTGATCGATCAAGAATATTTATATCGTTTAAGGTACCTGGAGGTCCAAAAAATGCGTGCCAAATCCAGAGATCTTGTGATGCGACCGCCTCTAAAACGATGGTTGGTTTTCCAGAGCCACGTGTATACTGGCCTTTCCAAGCGGTGGGACAATTCTTCCACTCCCAGTGCATACAATCGAGACTTCCTATCATCCCGGGAAATCCGCGTATCTTTCCAATATTGAGTAGTCTTCTCAGATCTGTGGCTGTAGGTGCTCTTAGATATTCATCTCCGAAGAAAGAAATAATTCCCTCTGTAAAATTCTCCAAGCAAGACATCGCAGTGCTTTCACCCATACGGAGGTATTCGTCAACCGCATCAGACGCATAACCATAAGCAAGCAAACGAATGGCTGCCGTACATTTTTGTATTGGAGAGTGTCCAAACCTTCCTGTGGCATCTCTTCGATGTTGAAAGAACGGGATTTCACTGGAGAGTCGCTCAACAATACGCAAGAACAACGGCTTGTTCATTCGAAAACGGCGGCGAAAAGTTTGAGGTGGAAACATCGCATTATCACTAAAATAATCGTTCCATAAAAGGACGTGCCCTTCTTCGCGTTTTCTATCAAAATAAGCTCGTTTCCTATTTTTCTTTGCAACCTCTTCGCCATTAGACAATTCGACGAACATATTCTCGAATTGTTGATCAAGTGGTTGAGAGTAGCTTTCTTCCATGGCGTCGTCGAATGGAGTACGGGATGAAGAGGCCATATTGTTTGGTAGGTTTAAGTATTAAACAATATAGATATATATAAAAGCTTTGGTGATTGATTGTTTTGTGAAGCAAAAGCTTTGTAGTTGAAGCAAAGAACAATATTAGAAAAGCTTGAGTTGTGAAACATCTAAAGACGATGGATATTATTTATAGCAAAGGCAAAACATAAAGAATAAAGTTTGTGGTACACAAAGAATAAGCTCGTTTGTGGTACAAATTTGCTAGAATAAAGTTCGTGGTTCACAAAAAACATACAAATTATTTGTGGTACATATTGATCTCTTTGGCATCAGACATTGAACCACTTGCACACATTGCTCTCTTTGGCATCTAGCAAAAAAACAAGACAAGTTAAAACATGATACATGATACACAACAAGACATATCATACATTACAAATCAATATCATACAAGACAAGTTACAAAGCTTTAGGGTACATAGACTTAAACTAGAACTTTAAACAATATCATACATGAGACATAATACTAGAACTTACAAAGCAATATCATAGCTCCGTGACCAAACTAAAACTTTAAAACTTAGGACCAAACTAAAACTTTAAAACTTAGGACCAAACTAAAACTTTAAAACTTAGGACCAAACTAAAACTTTAAAACTTAGGACCAAAGCTCCGTGATTAGCTTATTTTTTAGGAACAAGTCAATGTCCGAAAGAGGCTCAGTTCTTGAAAGTAGACTTTCAAGCATCTGATACTTGCTTTGCTTCTCTTTGCGATCCCAATCCTTCTCCTTTAGTTCCCACAAATTCTGAAAATGTTCCACAGACTGGCCTGCTTCTCCTTTACCCGTGGCTGGCTTCTTTCCTTCGTTAACAGTGGCTGACTTCCTTCCTTTCGCTTTGGCTGCCTTCACACCAGGAGGTCGAGTCATGACTGAATCATCTTCAACATTGATAGGCTGGGAACTTGCATTACCATCCCCACACTTCCTTCTTTTAGCATTATCCTTTCCTCCCCGAGTAGTTTGATCACACCATTTCTGATCAAACTTTAACTCTCTCCATGCATGATCTAAAGTGAAATTCTTCTTGGTATCATTGTAGTAGATCTCGTGAGCCAGCTTCATAACATCATCCTCTGACTGACCACTAGTTTTATGAGTTGTTGCTGTCTTATGACAACCCACAAACTTGGTGACAATTTTATTGACCTTTGCCCACCTTTGTTTACATTGAGCATGCTCTCTCTTTGGCATTCCGTCGAGGGAAGGACTAGCAGCAACATATGCTGCAATCCTCTTCCAAAAGGATTGACCTTGTTGGTCATTACCAATCACAGGATCCTTGCTTGTATTAAGCCAAGCACTGACGAGAACAATATCTTCTTTTGCTGTCCATTTCTTTCGTGATATACTTTGCTTTGGTTTGACATCTGATGCTTCATTTCCTTCTTCTTCACTTCCTTCTTCAGACAGTTGACTACTAAATGCTGGGACTTCAGTTGATCCACTTGCAAACTGAGACATGTCTTCTTGTTGACTTTGCAATAGGTTCATGAAACCCGATGAGTGATAAAATGGATTCATATCATCCATTTTTTAGATAAGAAAGTGAAAGTGATTGTGTTTTGTGTTAGGCTGAAGGTTAAAGGAAGTGAAAGTGATTGTTTTAAAGGAAGTGATTGTGTTTTAAAGAAGAAGATTGAAACTTATTGAAAAATTAGCAATGAATGGCAAAGTAAAGACACTAATTGTCTTTACCTAAAATACTCCAACTAGAAAGCATTTATTTCAAATAACAGAGAAAGCATTTACCACTTTGAAGTGTACCTTCATTTAGAGGCTGTTAAATCGATGCCTTCTCCACTTGTGAGATTTGTAGTTTCAACCACTCCATTTAACCTCACCAAAACAGAGAAAAAAGAAAGAAATATTAACATAACATTAAAAAATCAAAATGATTCAAGTAATTACTAAGAATTGTTGGCTAAGAATTGTTCAAATCCAATAACTTAATAGAAACTAATGCGAATAATAAACTCACCAGGGACAGAGAAGAAAATATCTTGTGGCTTTCTTCGTCGCCTACAAGCAAAGGCTATTGCAGGAGCATCAAACAGCAAAGCAGCACCTGCAGCAACTCCACCAGCTATTGCTCCAGGTCCACATAGGTCTAAGTTATTAGCAAAACTGCACAAGGAAATGTGAATTTCAGAATAAGTTCAGACACTGACACAACAACTGAAATACTGAAAAGGATAAATCATATAACCTGATGGGTATTAATATAAGATTAAAAATTCAAAATGATTCAAGTAATTACTAAGAGATATTAAATCAGGTATTCAAAATGATCATGCCTCCGAGAAATACCAAGTATTTACCTTTCCACATGACTCAAACAAAGAAAAACCAGACTCTATGTGTGTTGGTTAATGCCTAAAGCAACTAGAGCTTGAAAGCTTTAACTAATCTTTTCAGCTTTGATGAAGTTTATATTTCAGAATAAATACATAAACTATTTATTAAGGAAACTATACACTATATAGTCTCATATCATCCATAATTCAAGAATCAAAGCATTTTGAAGAAAAGATCTACATACATTAACGAAACTATTTACCATAAATCAAGCATACTATGACTCAATTTGATTCAATCCTGACAAGGAAATATCAATGAAACCCCTAAAACTCAATTTGATTCAATCCGAAACTATGAACCCTAAAAATCAAACATGCAACGACTCCTCCTCACTTCAATCATGCCAAATAACAAACACATAGCCTCCAATTTAGTTTGAAAACCCCTTATCAATGCTTACAACTAAAAACCCCAATTTTCGAAATATGAACCCTAATTTCAAAAATTCAAATAACTCTAAAAAGAACATCAAATACCCCAAATAAATCATGACATAACGCACAAAAGAAGTAGATGCTCTTACCAATTACCATCCAAGCTGAATCGATTACTCTCCATCCATTGAATTTGGATCTCCAATTTGCAGTGATCTCTCTCATTCCCGAACGAGACATGCGATGCATCATCATTCCCGGCCTAACCACTCAATTCTTCCCTCAGTCGTCGTCGTCTGCCTCAATCGCCGGAGAAAAACTTTACCAAATCGCCATCGCCATCGCCGGCAAAGAAAGAAAGAGAGTGTTTTTTTTTCACGCGACAGTTTGTGTTTTTTTTTTTGCGTTTTTTTTTTTATTTTGTTTAAAATTCAACCAATGAGAAGCTGCCACGTGTCGGTTCTCTTAACTCTCAAAAGCTCTCTTGTGAGAGCTGGCTCTCTTCTTATATCTACATTTTGATTTATTTTTGAAATTATTTTTTGAAGAGAACTGATCAGAGAACCCCAAAAATTAACCATTGGGGGTGCTCTTACAAAATCTTTTTTTCTTTCTCAATGAAATTTGAAAACATTTTTTTCTTTTTGTGCACCAACGAAATACTTCATTTCATGGTTAAACAATAATACTTCATTCCATGGTTAAAAGATTATAACTAGATAAACACAGTTAAACACAATCCAAAGTACACATTGATATATTAGAACCAACAGGTTGAGTTTTTAGTCTAGTCTTGAGGTTCCTCTCTCCTGCGATTTCTCTCTCTCAAAAGAGTCAAATTGACGTCTTTCGCATCCCACCTCCGGCGTCTCTCACAGCGTCGGAATCCTCTCCCTTTCTCGCCTTCAGGCCCTCCCCTCCCAATTCAAAGTCCAAGAAGAAGAAGACTCCTGGTTCGCAGTCCCCTGAGGTTCCGCATTGTCGGCGTCTTCCTCGCCTGTCTCTTCCGGTGACAAGGAGGTTTCGTCTCCTGGGTCGCCTGCTGCTTCGATTTCTCCGCAAAATACCTCAGCTCTTGCCTTAGCGACGAGTTCAGCCATTGTCGATTCCCAAGTCTCTAGCAAGCCAGATCTGGGAGGAAAGCTTTCGTCAACCATTAGGTCGTCGGAACCCACAATCCCATCGGAAAATGCCTCAGCTATCGCCCAGACGAAAAGCTCAGCCATTATTGAGACCCCAACTGCTGGTTCACCAGATCTAGGTCAGTTAGGCGTCGATGTTAAGGTCCAAGGTGTGGTCGTCTCAGAAACGCAGGAAGTTTTAACTGTTGTGTCCGCTGCTGTCGTAGATACACCCAGCAAACCTGCAGAGGAAGCCGCAAATTTGGTTCATCCAATCTCACCCATCGCCGGAGGAGATTCTTGGGTGGATTTGTTTAAGGGGACTGCGAAAAGCTTATCTAAAAAGGACAAAGATTTCGTCCTACCCTCAGGAGAAACCTGTGTAAAGATTCCTAACTCCATCATTGAGAAAAACATGAAGGCTTGGGAATCTTTCATCATCGGTCAATTCTATGCCGACCCGCCTCCTCAAGCCCTTATTCACACCAACGTAAATGGCATTTGGAGCCGGCAATTCAAAGATGTCTCTGTTTCTAGGTTGGAAGGGAATGCGTTCCTCTTTCGCATCCCAAACTCTCAGACCCGAAGAAGAGTTCTAAACCAAAGGCTATGGCAAATCGAAGGGCAGACAATGTTTGTTGCAAACTGGGAACCCGGTATGGTTCCAGTGAAGCTAGAGCTGACTTCTGCCCCAATCTAGCTAGTGCTGCGAAACGTCCCTTTGCAGTTCTTCCATGAAGACGGTTTAGAGCGTATTGCAGGCTTGGTGGGGGACCCAAAGTTTTTGCACCCAACACGGCAAACAAATCTAACCTTCAAGTCGCAAAGGTTTTCACCATCATAGACCCTCGGAAGCCATTGCCAGAGGCAGTAAACGTGCAGTTTGACTCTGGAGACATTACCCGGATCAACGTCTCTAGTCCCTGGATGCCTCCCATATGTTCTCATTGTAAGGGAGTTAGGCACAGTCTGAAGAGGTGCAGGACTGCGCCTATTACCTGTAAAAGCTGCAATTCGACTAGCCACACAGTTGAAACTTTCCCTCGTGTTAGTGGTAATGGTGTGAGAAAGCCTATTGGTAAAGTTGCATCTACTGGTAAAGGGCCTGCAACTGGTCGTGGTTTTGATGTAGGTAAAAAGCAGGATCATGTGAACAAGAATCAAGTGAGTGTTCAGGTTAAGGCTCCTTTTGTGAAGCCAGCTCCCAATCCTCCTATTAACTCTGTTGTGCCGTTATCCAGAGGGTCGGTTCTAAGTGTTGGTGATTTTAGTAAGGCCGAGGGTAAAAAAATATTGGTAGATGACTCTGCTAGAGTTTTATCCAGAGTATCTGAGGCGGAACCAGACTCATCTGACACATTGTCTTCCGAAAAAGGAGAAGATTTTGAGGAGGATTTTGTATCAGAAGAAGAACATGAGTATTTGGAAGTTGTTTCAAAGAGAAATCAGCGAAACTTCAAGGGTATTGGCCCCAAACTCAATTAGTCCCAATGTGTAAAGACATTTTTTGTTGGAACGTCCGCGGATTTAACAAGCAATCACACCGTAGCAGATTTAAAAAGTAGTGTTACAGCAATAAACCCTTTTTTGGTAGTCTCATTGAGACTCACGTCAAGCAGGCGAAGATTGCAAAGTTTGTAAATGCTTTTCTTCCTGGATGGCTTTTTGAAGAGAATTATGCTTTCTCTGAATTAGGTAAGATCTGGATTCTATGGCACCCGAGTGTGAAGGTTGAGGTTTTGTCTAAATCTCTACATATGGTCACATGTGAGGTTCAACTACCGCAAAATCCTACTAGTTTCATTCTCTCTTTTGTTTATGCTTCCAACGACTCGGTTGAAAGGCGCTCACTGTGGAGTGAGATTGTTGCTGCTGTCGCAAACCAGTTAGTGCTGGGAAAAAGCTTGGGCGGTGTTAGGTGACTTCAACCAAATTTTATGCCCTATAGACCACTCTACAAGGATTAATCTGAATATGGATAGGCAAATGAGGGAGTTCAGTGATTCTCTTCAGACCGCTTCACTTTTTGACTTGACCTACAGATGTAGTTCTTTTACCTGGTGGAATAAGAGACGAGCAAATCCAGTGGCAAAGAAGTTGGATAGGATCTTAATAAATGATGAATGGCAAGCAGTTTTTCCTTTGTCCACTGGTTTTTTTGGCGCTCCTATTTTTTCTGACCACTCGCCAAGTACCATCTCTCTTGACTCGACTCAGCCTAGAAAGAAGAAGTTGTTCAAGTTCTTTAATTTTCTCCTAAAGAGTCCCAGTTTTTTGCCTCTTGTTTGCAACAGCTGGTTCTCGTTGAATGTTGTTGGATCTGAGATGTTTAGGGTCTCATCAAAGCTGAAGGAGTTGAAAAAGGTTATCAGGTAATTTAGTAAGGATAATTTTTCAGACTTAGAGAAAAGGGTCCAAGAGGCACTGGCAGCCCTAAAAGTTGTGTAATTGAGAATGTTGTCCGACCCATCACAAGCAAATGCAGAAAATGAATTGGAAGCCCAGAGAAAGTGGGAAATACTATCTCAGGCCGAGGAGAGCTTTTTCTTCCAAAAATCAAGTATTTCTTGGCTAGGGGAAGGAGATAAGAACACAGCTTACTTCCATCGCATTGCCTCCACAAGACAGTCTATTAATCATATTCACTTCCTCGAAGATGAGGCCGGAAACGGCATTGACTCACAGCTTGGTATTCAAGATCACTGTGTGAGTTTCTTTAAAGATCTTCTTTGTAGTGATGAGTCGTCTATTCTGTTTTTCCAAGAGGACATCACGTCCATCCTTAATTATAGCTGCTCTGTTGACCAGAAGGTAAAGCTTGAGTCTGATTTCACTATCGAAGAGATCAAAGCTGCTTTCTTCTCTCTCCCGAGAAACAAATCCAGTGGCCCTGACGGTTATTGTGCGGAGTTTTTCACGATCTGCTGGAGTGTGATTGGGGCTGAGGTGGTTTCAGCTGTGGCGGAGTTCTTCAGATCTGGTACTCTCCTTAAACAGTGGAATGCCACGACTCTGGATTTGATCCCAAAGATTCAGAATGTGTCGAGAGTAACTGACTTTAGACCCATCTCGTGTTTAAATACGATGTACAAGATAATCTCCAAACTTTTGGCAGATAGACTCAAATCCATCTTGCCTTCAGTTATCTCCCATTGTCAATCTGCGTTCATGCCGGGTAGACTCTTGTCTGAAAACGTTTTGCTAGCTTCGGAGATAGTGCAAGGGTATAACAGAAAGAATATTGCTCCGCGAGCAATGATGAAAGTTGATCTAAGAAAGGCCTTCGACTCGGTCAGATGGGACTTTATTTTGTCTACGCTGAGAGCTTTGAGCATTCCTGAGAAGTTCATAGCATGGATAAAGGAATGTATTTGCACGCCTTCCTTCTCAATCTCCGTCAATGTTTGTCTGATGGGTTTTTTAGAAGTTCAAAAGGTTTAAGACAGGGAGATCCCCTCTCTCCCTATCTTTTTGTCCTGACAATGGAAGTTTTCTCTAAGCTACTTGCGTCAAGGTTTGCCTCGGGCTACATCTCTTACCACCCGAACACATCTGATCTTGGTATCTCCCACTTGATGTTTGCTGATGACGTTATGGTATTCTTCGACGGTAGCAGTTATTCTTTACACAATATTTACGAGACCTTAGATGACTTTGCTGGCTGGTCCGAACTTAACATGAATAGAGATAAGACTATTCTTTTCCATGCTGGTTTGTCGACTGGGGAAACTTCAGTCATTGCAAACTACGATTTCCCAACTGGCAACTTTCCGGTGAGATATCTGGGTCTTCTTTTAATGTCCAGGAAGCTGAAAATATGTGAATATGCTCCCCTATTGGAGAAGCTTACCAGCAAATTTCGTGCATGGGCTGTAAAAACACTCTCTTTTGCTGGAAGAGCCCAGTTGCTTTCTTCAGTAATTTATGGGACTGTGAACTTTTGGATATCGACTTTTACTCTTCCTAAAGGTTGCATCCGGAAGATTGAATCTCTTTGTTCCAGTTTTCTCTGGTCTGGGAACATAGAAAATCACAACAAAGCAAAAGTTGCTTGGTCCAAGGTATGTCTACCTAAATTCGAAGGAGGTTTGGGTCTGAGAAGACTTTCAACTTGGAACACCACTTTGAGTCTCAGGTTAATCCGGTTACTGTTCTCGAATAGCGGATCCTTATGGGTCACTTGGCAGTACCATCATTACAGGCTGGCTGCTGAAAGCTTTTGGAAAATTGAGGCTAAGACCACGGACTCTTGGTT